GAGCTCATCGAAATTTGTGTCAAAATCCTTCATACTATATCAACTCATTTTTTCGTAGACTTTTTCCTTCTTTCTTTGCACAATCACTTTGTATCACGACGCTGTTTTCAGCACGTCGGAAATTTGATTGAATTTAAATTTATTTGTTCATTAAATTCAATCAAAGGTTATCGTTTTTGAAGCAATTGTTTTGTTTACTACAAGAAATTTTTGTTGACGTTTCACATATAGAGAAAATCGGTGCAATGACATTTCTCACAGCGCTAGAAAGAGATGAATAGATGGCGTTGCAATGTGTAGAGTTTCCAATCGGTTCAAAAAACATTCAGTTCATTTGAATAGACGGGAAACGGTTTATTTTTCAATCTTCGATGATTTTTCTTAAAGAAGAACTATTTCGGTATGATAAATACACTTTTGGAAAAGAAAACACCCAAAATTTAATTTCAAAATTTTCTTGTGAGTAAATCATTGACAATGCGTACCGTACCATCTTGCTTCTTTTGTTGAGAATAAAATGCACAAAGAACTTACAGAAATTCAATATCGGAATAACAAATAATAATGAGAAAAAAATGAACTGAGATTTGATTTGTTACATGATATGTTCATGGTGTGAAACTAACCGATGAATGCTTTTCGGAATTAAAACACTTCGTGTGTCCAATCAATTATGAAAAATGACAGAGATTTATTTCATTTTGGATATAAATATAACGACACGGCTTGAAGTGGTTGGTCCTTAGAGTTTTATCGTTTTTGGGCCTCAGCATTTATGTTGAAGATTATGAATTTGAAAAACGCTATGGAGCAATTAACGAATCTCATATGCTTGGTTGGCGTACCATCTCAGATGGTCCATCTGTGAAATAGGAGCAGATAAATATGAAGCTACAATCGAAGTAGATATAAAATTATCATTAGAAATTTTGCAATAAATTTAACATTGATTTTAATCATTTCATGTAGTGCTAAAAAGTAGTAAAGGTAATGTTCGACAAAAAATACAATTTGGATGTAATTTTTGGTTAAAACCTACTTTTTTTCTTTAAATTATTTTTCGAATTACTTTTTCTCCAACTATTATTTTTGAGTGAAAAGTATTTGAGAAGAGTGATTTCTTCCTCAGTTCAAAGTTATCAAGGAAGTGTAAATTCTTCATGAAAAATTTAACTATTTAGAATTATGTCACTACTAGTAAATAAGAATAAGTTCATTCGTCAAATGTCTACGAAAACAATTCGTTGAGTTTTATTACATTTGTCTTTGAGTTTGTTTCACTCTTTTCCGAAGGAAATAGCTTTGCAGAGAAAAAATTCAATGGAGACAGACGACAATCTTTTTTCATTGGCAAATAGCAGTTATTTCTACACGTGAATCGAAATTATATCAACCTAAATCGTTTATCGGCAAATTTTTATCGTGGATCGAATTACCACGCGTCATTTCCAGGCTTATAAGTTCTGTGCATTTGTATTGAACAACCTGTTTTACATATGTCATTACTATGATTACTATTGCTTCGTATGTTTCAATTCTTCTGGCTTCATCAAATGGTTATTCACCTATGAATCATACACCATACATATCACAAACTCCATAACACACTCAACAAAAGCATATAATGGTCATGATTGTCCATGAGCAGTACAATTAAATGAATGTACTTCGGTTCATACAAATTACCGCTCATAATGCATTACCTTAATTGTTTTATTGATTTTTTTTTATGACTATTTGTGTCATAATACTTTTTCCGTAATTGAAATGAAACAGAATATCATTTCACTAGAACCGACATAATATTGTTTTCGTTATGAATGGAAAGGAATGTAATTGCTGCGTTCATTTTCATCATTGTTTACATTTACAAATAGCTCATTCCAAATGCTTGGGTTGTTTGACCCGTCATTTTGGCGGCATTCTATTGTCAGAATCAAGCAAAATAAATTATACAAATCAATGTTGTTGACCGTGCTTAACCTTTTTCCACTAGCGATCAGAGGTCCTTTCGCCATGAAAAATGCATTCATCGCAGGTTCAGCGTTATCATAACCGTGGACACCGTGAACAGTTGTATTCGGATCTGGAAATCAATATAAAAATTGGCCTGAATATGGAAAATCAAAGCATACAATGGAATATTTACATCGATAAAGATCGTGAAACCCATAATTGATATCAGCCACGGCAATAATTGGCCCCATGCGCCTCGCGTTGTTTGCATGCCAACGAGTCGGAAGATTCTCTTGATTGTATACTTTGAAATGACCATTTTGTTGAGCCGCTTTTGTTAAGTCTGTGAATATTTCCTGCTCGACATCTGAATTTAATGAAAGTTGAGGAAAAAAGATATGAAAATGAAAGGTCTATGGATAAGGAAACGTGATAGTTCTCCAACTCACCGTGATCTATTGGTACAACTTGAAACACAGGTGAAGAGCCATACATTTGATATGTTCCATTTTTTAAGAATTGCGTTAGGTCGATTATGTTGGATTTCCCTACTCCCACCATTCCGTGATCTGACAAATGTATGACATTGATGCGATTTTCCAGCTGATACTCAACCAACTTCCGCTGGATGTATCCCGCGAGATTGTCAACTTCGGACACTTTCTCCATTGCCTATTAGAAGCGAGAACATACGGAAATCTTATAAATGAATGATATTGAAATATTGGAAGATTTAAAATCGGGAAATGACTTTGGGTAGGGCGTTTTCAATTGTAGGTTTAATGTAGATTGTTTAGTTTATCATATCATGGTTATTCTGACTGTAATTTCAAACATGGCTTTTGAATCCGCACAACATTAAAGAAAAATATGTACTTACTTGAAGCGAGTCTGGTCCGAATTTGTGTGCATCACTATCGGGTTGCTCAATATACATCATAACCAGATTTGCTGGCGTTTCTTTGTGTGTGAACCATCCCATTACTATATCAACGCGTTCCTTGAACGATACACTTTTGTCTAATTTCATCGTGAATGTACAATTTTTGCCTTTGAACTCGAAATTGCTTCCACTCCACATCATACATCCTGAATGCCCGCCAGCCAGCTCGTTTGCTGTCTAAAGTTATACATTTCATGGGAAAAAGAGTCATTTAATTATGTTAATATCGTAATACAGTAAACAAGTTCGTTTTAACTCACCCAAATCGGTACAATACTTTCATCATAATGGAATAATTCATAGCTGTATTTCAGTTGTCTATGAAGTTTCGAATCATAGTTTGCTTTCCCAAGCACGCTATGGTTTTCAGGATAAAGACCCTATGAATAAAATAAAATAGTTATTCATGAAAAATGAACTGAACTTTATTTAAAATCTTTACGAGCATACACTGTTCGTAACCAGTCGTCTATGTTATTCCACATTTAACCAGCTATTCTATTGATTGGCTTGGATTGGCTTTTCTTGGATTAACTACTTACTGTTGCAATTGAAAAGTGGTTAACCATAGTTGTTGTGGGAAAAACGGGCTTCAAGAACTCCGCCGACGTGCCCATTTCACGGAACTGTTCAAGATTTGGCGTAATATTCCAATTCAAATAATCTTGTTTGAACCCATCGTACGAAACAATCAAAAGAGCCGGTTGAGTTTTTGGTGCTTCAATTGTTCTGCATGAACAGTACGAGAGTAATAACAAAATCAATGATTGCAACCCATTCATTGTGACGACTTTACTTTGCAAACTACGGAATTGATTGGGGAGTAATTGAATGA